AGTGGCTTTCTCTGAACATCAGCACCAGTCATTTTCCTTGAAGACTTCTGGAGCACAGTGGTTGTCACCCAAGTCATTAAATCCTTAGATACAGCTGTTGTACTTACTTTATTTGTTAACAGTGGAAAAAATCTGGCCAAGAAAGTAACAGCTACTGTCTTTCAAAGACTATTTCAGGTTTACAGATATTCCCTTAACTCTTCAAAATAAAAATCATTATATGTCCCCAATGAATACATTTATTTAGTAACTGAAATTCACATGCATTTAGATTAATTCTCCATTTATTTATATAGAAATGGCAAAACGAATACCTGTTTTTATAGCTGGTTCACATGCAATAGCTACATTACTTGTAGCTTTGCTGTCTGTTTATAAGAGATTGTTTAAGGCTAGATCACGAGACAATTAAGTCATTCAGACAGTCCTCCTATTTCACATGGATGAAAAAAAAAATCTAAAAAACAGACTATAGCTGGCTTTTTACTGCAGCTAGAAAGGCAACAAAATAATCCAATGCACAGTACGATATCTGCAAAAAGAGGTTTAAGCCTGATCTCACTGTTGCCTTTCAAGGGATAAAGGAAAAATACTAAACTTACATTGTTCAACTCTGGGAATTCCCATGTGTAAAATATTAACTACATTAAATGAATACAGAATCTAATCTTGTTCCTGCATCACCCCAAAGAGTTTACAAAACTGTTCCAAGTTTTTCTGCAGGATTTCCTGACTTTTCTTTTGGAGACAGGGGCAGAGACAGAAAAACTGACAAACCCAACTTATTTAGAAATGCTGAAGCTCTTAACGGGAGAGACTGAGAATCCAGTCTCAACACAACTATATTGAAGTTCCCAATTAAAGCTAGTCAGAAATGTTTCTTCTGCAATATGGAAGATCTGGACCTCCTGACTGCCAGGGTACATATGTTCACATACACATCAACTTGCAAAAACTTTTAGAAGCAATACACACCACCCCCCACTCAAACCCAAAAAGACCTTCTGATCAGATACAAAAGGAGAAACAGAGCCCTAATAAGTCACTTGACCAGATATCCCTCATCAGTAGGGTAATTTGCCACCATGCTGAAGACTACAGATGATCAGCTAGATGAAAGAATTCACTGAAGACCTAAGTATTTGGCATTCCTAATGATGCTCATCAGCTCTCAGAACAGTCTTCCCAATTTTTAAAGAAAGTTTACAGATTTTGTCATAGTATCATGTATAATTTTAAAATATGAAGTCTTTTTTGCTGTTGTTAAAGCATAAGCACAGTGTGATGAACATTAATCCTGTGTCTTCCAGACATGGAAAGTGCAAGTATTTTGAAGGTAACCTATTCTATCCAAGAATCTACAATATAAGAACTCTTTCCTCTGAGTTTCAGCAGGGATGACTGAGGGCATGAAAGAAAGGAGTATAAAACAAACCTTAATGTATGCCTCCAACTTCTGTTTGAACCAGAGTACTTTGTTAGTAAAAGCATCCTATCCCAGTATGAGAGTTTGAGTGAGGAGCCAGCACGCACCTTTAACAACCTGTTCTAAGAGACAGCTTCATGGTCTGTCACATTTATATCTTATTTTTTCATTTAACCTTGACTGGCACAACTACTCACTTTTGCAATAAGCCTCCTGATTGAATTTATTCCCTCTCCCAGTGTTATATTTTCTCACAAATTATTGAACAAAAACAGCCTTTCTTTATGAGAGTGAGGAAACAGAATACCATGACAGAGCATATACCATTTCTTGATAAAGCTTCTTTGGTTTTCATGGCTACTATAGCCTTTAGTAACTGATTCCACTCTGCATAATCCGTCACAGTATGAGAAGATACAACATATTTAATAACACCTTACACATGTATCCAGCAGTTGTCCTACCTGTCCTGATAACAGTCTTGTGTCCCACACATAAGTGGAACCTGTTATCCATAACACACCATAGATCCCTTTCAGGGTCATGGAACAACAGGACAAGTCCTCCAATAAATATTTACATGCTTTATTCCCAAAATGATTGCTTTACCTTCAGAATTGCCAAACAGGATATTTGCTTTTGCTTGGCTTACGTAGTTTGAGAGATTACTGTATTGTAACTTATCCTTAACACTCAGTCAACAGAGACATGAGACATGAATACCCACTGCATTCACCCACACTACACTGTAATATACTGCACAGGTATTAGACATAGACCTCTTTTTCTACAGGGAGGGCTGCAGAGACAAAGGAAACAGCACTAACTTCTACTCATTTTTAGAAGCAGTTTTGCATCAGTTCAAAATTCCATCCCACAAGAGGTAACGTTTTTATTCATATTTACATTAATTAAGACATTATGGTAAGTGCACATGAACAGTCTTACTTGAAGTTAGCAAGTTAAAAAGTATAATAAAACATATTATTCCCAAGAAGTTAAATTTGCCTTAGCTTTAAAGCCAGCGCTGAAGAAATACACCACAGAACTTGTAAAACTTATTCAATGCACTGAACATCATCCATGAAAGATACACCTTGTGAATGTTTTAACACTAACAAGAAATGAACAGCTGCAAATAAACACGTCTCTCCAATTTTACAGGCACACTAACAGTGTGTTGTGGCTTGCTTTGTCAAGCAGATTCTGGCTTTGCACCACTGCTGTAAATGAATGGAAAATGGAGAAAGAGCACCAGTAGTCAGAGAACAGACGCCACATCTAGAAAAGCCTGCTATTTTTCCATCCTTTAAGTGTGAAAAGCAACGTGAACAACTGAGCTAGACATTTAATTAATGCCTTAATGCAATCAACTACCAGAGTCCTGCTGCAAGAAATTAGTCCTGGGCACAGGGGCAAGAAATAGAACTGAGGTTGGAACTCTTCACTGAGTAAGGCTAAAATCCATAGACTTAACTATGGCACTGAAATGAAAGAACAAAAGCTTTATACTAGCTGCAATCACTAGAACAAAGCTCCACTATAATATCAAAGCCACAAAGAAAATAGAAAAAAAAAAGAAGATAGTGGGTCTCATTCTACATGGTACTGGTTGACATTATTTCAGTTCATTTCAAAAAAGCTCATTTGTCCTTTCTTCAAATGTAAGACATTGTACTGCAGAACATCCAAGCAGTCACAATATTTTTATTTTGTAAGAACTATCTGCAATTGTGAGGATGGGGGGGAGGGGAAATCTTTCTTAAAAACGCAAAATACTCCATCAGAAAACTCTGCATTCATAAATGGTAAATTATACTAATGTTTTGTTTAAGTTAGAAATTTGGTAACTTCAAAGTCTAACATATCCAATTTTGGAAGCTGACTCAGTACAGGAAACAGTTCAGGTTTATTAAGACAAACACTGAAATACAGCCATTCTACTGGCAAAAGTATGATGCTAAAGAGCATTTACTAAAGAATCGCTAACTATTACAGCCGATTTGAAGTTTATGGCTGTGTTTTTAAGGCATCATATCCAGCACTTCAAAGCTATGTAGCTACATGCTTTATTAGGTTGGAAAAGATTAATCACAGAATTATGTTAAACTAGTAAAAAGGGGAGGGAGCACTACTTTTCTGCATGGAAAATAGAGAGAATGTGTCACAACTAAATTTAGGGGGAAATAAAGTTATATTTTGAGACGACTGTAAGCAAGCATAAGAGGAATTTACTTTTTTAATTCATAGTCCAGAAACAGATTTTGTTGCCTATTGTGAGTTTCCTCAATTGAGCTGATCAAGACATTTTGTTGCTAGCTGAATCATCCTATACATCCTTATACAGCAGACTACATTTGAGCTCTTGAAACGCAGTGTCAGTCGTTACCTAAACTAACATTAGTTCAGCCAAATATCAATAAAAGCAACAAACAGAACAAGCACTTTGTGCAAAGTCTTACACTTTATGTATGACAGAAGCCCTGATCCTTAACAGAAGATATCAAAGTACTCAACCACAATTGATATGTACACATTTGACACCCAAGAGAGTAAAAAGACAAAATCATTGAACTCATGTTATGACTACAGGAAATTAAAAACATACTGCCACAGTACCAGAGTTGCAGGTCAGTACTGATTTCCCTAGTAATTCCAGACTCAAATTTACAACATCTGCTTGGCTGCAGCATCTCTTTCAGAAAGACATCTGCTATTCACTCAGGGGACAAAGGGCTTTCCAGTGATCTTCAGTATCTTTCAAAAAGGGCTTTTCAATGAGTAATTAATTACAAGCAGCATTTAATTCAGTAAATACATGCTGATTCTCGGGAAACTAAATTAGACTGCCAACTCTCTTGAAAAGACCTGGAAATCATTTCAAGTAGAAACATCATCTGAAGACTTTTCTGTCTCCTGGCAGATAGAAATTGGCACCAGGTGTCCTGACTGGCACAAGCACCAAAAACAAACCCAACACGAAGTCCTTAAAACTCTGCCAGATTTTGAAACACCATCTGCCATTTAATCAGCTGTGATTCCCTCCCCCTGCCATATGAGCAGACACACATATCAACATCCTTGGACAATTTCAACTTCTTATACAAGTGTAGTCTGCAGTGATACATAGAGACAGCTCACACCAAAAGGTTATCTACAATGAACCTTCCAGAAAAGAAAGATTCTGCATGATTCTTCTATTTGTTTTTTTAAAGCCACAACACATGAATTCATTCATTACTTAGCTCACTGTGGCTAAACAGCAAAAACTACATCCAGTTTCATTTCCATGCTTTTTTTTTTAATACCATTTAAACCTCATTAAGTTTCACTGGAAACAGAGTAACAGATACCACAGACTGCATATTATAAGACATGGGTAGCCTGAAGACAGTAAGTAGACAAAACTCAAGACACCTTTTTCCACCTCCTTTAAAACTGGAGTCAGTGATAGTTTCAGAACTATCCCCTGCAAATCTGTTCTTCCAAGAAAAGAACCAATATACTAATATAACGTATAAACCTAATTTGAGTTGCACCACAGAAAATATAAAAATGCATTCAGAAAACTCACCAGGACCCAAACAAGATAGGCTTTGGTGTACACTTCTTCCAGGAGAACCTACGGTGTTCAGGAAGGAGAAAAAAAAAATTACACTTCAAGAGAGTAAAGAAAATACAGGATGCCTTCTCATTAAGCCAAACATGTATTTTCCATTACAATTATCATATTTCATTTAAGTCAGGTAGCACTGTTTTACTTTACTTATTCATAGAGGACTACAGATAATAAGGAACTATCATCTATACTGGCATCAAAGCAACTTTTTTCCACCTATATGCTTATAAAGCAGTAATAAATTAACAGCATTCTCAAATGTGCTGCCAATCAAGTTAGATACAAATGAAAACACCGAAAAAGTTAGTCCACCCTACCTGTATTGGAGTTATGTGAAAATTGACCTAAGAACCTCGTTATTTTTAAGGATACTAAATGAAAGCAATCTTTCAGACTGCTAGGTATAAGTGCAAAAGTCATGTGCAGAGTTCATAAAAGGTCTTTTAACACCATCTTTCTTCAGAATTTACAAATAGTATGTGATCCTATAACAGGTGTTTCAACAGGAAAAAGCTACTTTGTACTGCTACCATACTTGTTTCCCTCACCTCAGCTTTGCAAATGGAACTTCGCTCCCAAGGCGAAAATTTTGTCTTACAAAGCCTTCCTGAAGATTCTTACCTATTCTTCTGATTCACTCTGGCAGAAATTACTAATGGCAATTCAAAGTTAAAGATACAACAAATGGTTGATACAGAAACATACAAGTAGAGTAAATATCCTCAACAGAGCTGACCACTATGCTCTCACAAGAATCTTGCTTAATTTAAACCCAAACTTAGACTAGATTTTTCTATCTTGTGTCTTTCGAGCATACAATCTTACAAGCAGATGACAGAACATCACTTAACAGACACTATCCTGTATTTTTGGTCATTATGGGATGCAAGTTTCAAGCAGACAGTAGACAATGAATGTCCCTTAAACAAATACATAAGGAACATTTTGCAGACTCAGTCTCCAATACTATGAACTGAAAGGAAAATGAGGAGACTATCTCAATTACTCTGAAGTCAGAGCATAGCTGCTCTTTCTGAATACAGAGGGATTCAAGAAAAAGTGAGAAACTGACTTCACCCAACAGCTGATTACCTCTAATCTCACTGACTTTCCTTCCTGGGGGCAGTGGCCCAGCTGATTTTGGTGTGCACTGGTTCAGCGAAGCAGATTTGGTCTTGGCTCCTAGAAGTAAAAGTTGAGATGAACTTTAAAGTAGAACTATGTCACCAATTAAAGACATATCTAATATTACACATTTACAGTTAAGTACAAGATGCACAAATCTACTCAAACACATGAAGATACACCTTCTAGAACATTTAACCTATATTTAAACTTAGCTCTGCTATACCAGAACTCATATTGGAATAAAAAGATGGTTTTAATAAAGCTTCTAAGCAGGAGAAAACATTAGTAATAATTTCACTTCAGCACTAAGATCGAATCACTTAAGTCTCAAAACAGCAGCTAATACAACACAGCTAAGGAAATACTGGTTGAAAGAGACCTCCAGAGGCCAGCTATCCAGACTCCCACTCAGAGCAGGCTCACCACCAAGACAAAAATCTGCTGACCACGCTTTTGTCCAGCTGAGCTATACAAACCTCCAGGAAGGGAGGCTTTATGGCATGACTGGGCAAGGATGCATCTCCCACTCTAAAATTTGTGAGCATTTTCCACTGTCACATCATCTGGTGCTACTGAGAGGAGTTTGGCACCATGACCCTTACAGCTGTCCTTTTCAAGCCATTGACTACACAAGCTCAACTCCCTCAACCTCTCCTCAGCAGACAGAGACCTCAACCATCTTCCTAAGTCTCCAGCTGACCTTTCCAGTTTCAAAACAACCCTTCTGAACTGGGAAGGCCCCAAAACTCAGTACAGTGGTCCAGATAACACTGAACTGAAGGGGGAATACCAGCTTCTTTTGACCACACTGCTCCTGCAGGTGCTGAAGGCAGGCTTCCAGCACCCAGGTTGCTGATGATGTTAAGTTATGCATAGCTGTGCTGCATGTTTTGTACCCCCACAGAAAGCATCGGCTTGTCAGACAGACATATGATTTGTGTTTGTTTCAAAGTGATTTATGATTTGTGCTAAATTCTGTTTTTTCTCACTGTTTACTATTTTAAAGCATGTCACTACAGTATGACATTTGGCAGGCATCTCTTACTTATTCTCAGTTATGTCAGATACCAGCTTAAGTCTAAAGCAGGAGTACAGTATTTAATTAGGTTTATCCAATTACAATAACCAGTTCATCACAAAGATGGTCAGAAGCAAGCTGATTATAGCTAGGATTTAGGAAAGAGACAGAGCAAGCTTGTTTATCTGCTCCCATTATGTCTTTAATTTTGTCTAGAGAATGAGTTGTCAACTGGTGTTTGTGGCTTGAGTGGAAGAAGCACTGTTGGCTGATCAAGAGTTCCTGGTTTGAACAGGAATTGGAACCAGAACAATGTTTAATACAAAGCCAAGGAGTACATTTAATGTTTTCTTTAGCACAAGATGATAAAGCACAGTCATCTTATCTCCATCAAAAATTAAAGCTTCCAATTCAGCCAATAAGAGGAATATTAAGAAAAAGCAGCATGAAAAGCTGAGCTGTTTCTGAGACTCTTCCCCTGGAAAGATGGGATAATGCCACTTATCTACGAAAGAAGATACTTCATCTAATAATACCTTATTCAAAAAAATATCCCCATCCCTCAAGGCCCTTTCTATGCCCAATGGGGTGAAGATAATGCAAAGCCTGCATGAGGACAAGAACAATTTCAGGACAAATTCAGGGTAGGTCTACCCTGCACATTACCAGCAGCCACAGAATCTGAGCCTGAACTTTCTGAAAGAAAAGAACTCTTATTAAAATAATGTAAATCCCATGTGATGACACCTGCCACGTAGCAAGGTGCATCTAGTCCCTGTACCATGCAAACCTCTGCTGTACCACAGTGCAGACCTCCTCTTCATTTCCCTGAAATACCTCCATCAATTATGACAATTTAAAGAACATTTTAACCTTCCCATGAAGTCTTACAACACTTGAAGCATCACTGATGTGATTTTACTTCCTCGCACTGTTTTCCGAGACCACCGTTACTGAACACTGCTTCAGGAGGCAGACGCCTGCCAGTAACGTACTGTAACGGCAGGAACTGCGCTTTCACTCCGTCTACCAACAAACCCAGGTACCTTTCGGAGTTGACTTCAACAAGTGCAATCTAGGTCTTGACAGTGCTTTCAAAGGGACAGGTCCTGAAGTGCCATTCTGGCAGGCTGGTTTTGAAGGCCATTCTCCATTCTTGATGACTGTGGCACTTGCAGCTGCAATACAGAATGACAAAGAATTTGCTCTAAGCATAAATGGTTTGATGAAGCCAAGCCTGTCTTACCAGAGGCTGAAGGACCTTGAAAGAAATTTGGGTTTGTTGCCACAATGGAAATTTTTCCTTGAAAAACAAAAACCTGAAATTTCGGGAAAGCATTGTTCCACTTTTCTAGAAAAAAACCTGAAAGTACTTCTAAAGTAAGTACACATTGTTTTGGGTACTAAAAAAATTATGTATACTGACACAGAGAATAAGAAGCTAACATGGCATTTACCAGAGACAAGCAAAAACTAAGTCACTCTGGAATAGTTGGTCATACTGTTGCTCTTTTCTCTAGTCATTAAGGAAAAAAAAAAAAGGAGGGGAAAAGTTTCTGGCATGTATTATCAGGTTTGCATCAGATTAGTATTTTAATGAGGCTGGCTATTTTTAAAGGTTTGTCTAATACTGTTCATCAAAAGATGGAACATATAGTCTTGAGATTATTTTAGTCTCTTTAAATGTACTAGCGTAAAGCATAAGTTAACTGCTTCAAAAAGATGGGTTTTGGCCACTAAATACATTTTCAACCACAGAAAGAGGGGTAGAACTTCTTTCCCCTATAAAAACATATGCAACTGAAGCCACCTTCTTTTTAAAAGACAAAGAAAGTTGGAGCTCCTCGAAAGGCACAAAAGCTAAATATTGCAAAAGGATCTGTACACGAGGAACAATTTGCATAACACATCAGTAACACAGTTATTCTGTGGGAATCTGACCCTGATCAACATCAGATTAAGACCAACTTGTTTTGGTAAAACATGAGGCCTGACAGTCCTTAACTTTTTCTGTAAATTGCTAAATTAAGGATTTTTGCTCAGAGTTCACTGCAGGAAGGTAACAACTGCCTACAAACTGGTGTGCTACTTGTAAATCAGAAGCACACCATGGAAGTAACGCTCTGGGTAAGCAAGCAGCCTTCTGCAGCAGGACTAGTTAGGGCACTGTTTTGCCCTATTAAAAGCTCCAGAGTCAGCTAACCAGGCTGCATGTAGGTAGGAAAACAAAAGGCAGAGTTGCAAAGTTTGATCACTATATGATTCAAAGCTGTTTATTCACAGATTAGGAGCAGCTACTGCAATCCTGATTAAAGATGGACATATATGAAATGGTCTCACCCCAGTTAAGATATAAAGAGTTTAAAAACTCAAGTCATTAAAAGAATTTTAGTGAAGTATTGACTGTTCAGAAATGCAAGCTCAACTGCTAGGATCAGCTTTTTAACTTCTGAAACACAATTTCTTTTATTTGTAATTATTCTAATGCAATTAAAATTTGGATTCTTGTTCTTAACCTCAGAGTTTAACTATTTCAGTACATTCAAATTATAGTATTTTCAGCTCTCCACTAAAACTGAGATTTCTCTACTGTTAAAAAAAATTCTATTTTTCAATGCTCAAACTGACAGACTGCATGAAAAATATGCTTTTATTAACAATAGCATTTCACACCTCATGATTTCTAAACTTCTCAAATAGGAAGTCATTTTAGAGAAAAAAATCATAAAGTTCAAGTGCTCATTAGACAAAAAAACCCCTAATGCTGCCACAGGGAATTACCAGTCTAAAGACATCCTATAACAAAGGGCTGAGCTGACACAGCAAGAGAAACACTTCTGTAATTTTTTTCTCTGTTAATACAAGGTAAACTCCTTAAGCAAAACAAACCAGGTGACTTTGCTGAATTAATATTGTTGACAGGACCACAAGTTTGTCATAAATTTCATGACATTCACAGTGTAAGCCTCCCATTTTTATCTTTGTGTCCCCCACCAAGCTAATAAAAACATTTTAGGTTTACAAATACAATTTTTTTCCTGACATTAATGCATAGTAGATTAAATGAAAGAATGAAAAACAAGAACAGCACTGTACTTAGTATTAGAGTACTAAGTAAACTCCATAATTTTTTCCAATTTGATTTAAGGTCATAAAAATTTCACTAACATATGAATTCTATTTAATCTAAAGTCCTTACACTCACAAAACCTTACTATCAGACATAAATCCCAACTAAAGAAAAATAATCTCACAGCAAATCAGCAAATCAAAATATTGCATATATTTACCAACCTCCACAAAACAAAATGCATGCTTTAAAATAGAAATAAAAAGGAATACAACCTACTTCTTTTCCCAGTAAACGTGGCTAACAAAGGAACAATACAAAAGCTGTAAGACCCCACTACCAGCAGTGTCAGTAAGGTAATATCATAGTGGCTTCCTGAGTCAGTCGGTGGTGTTAGTGTAGAATTGATAAAAATAATAGGAGAAAAATTAGTTTCTGTGCAACTGCGGAGTCCTCCTGGTATAGTCATTTAAAAAGATCAAAGCAAGCTTAAAGTCTAGGAAGCTGCAGCCATGTTCAACCTCTCATACTGCTCTTGCTTGGTCTTCGTGAATCGGAGTGGAAAAAATTGTAAGCTTGAAGGCAGTGGACAAAACAGATTACAGCAGCTAGCAAATCAGGCTAAATAAGGAGTCATCTGTTTGGACGCTTAATCTGAATACACTCCTTTGTTATAAAGCGATGACCCCATCCTTTGTTACATGAGGGAGCAAAACGAAGAGAGGACAAAGCTGCTTAGCAATTCCAGCTACAGTCCTAAACCTGAACAGCAAAAGTCAACATGGCTGTCACAGTATCAGAACCGATCCGACTACAGAGCGATATGCACATGCATATTTTATCACACATACTCTTATACCTTTAAGGAATATATTTGGTCTCAGTTTTTTAATGAAGGCACTACGGGGGGGGGGAACCAAGGAGAAAATTTATTAAAGTATGTATGCATATGCGCATACATAAACTACAGACGTGATAAATCACGGTTCTCTTTTTCAGTCCATTGAAGACTGATTTAGCAGACATCTGGCACAAAGAAAGGTCTTTGCCCAGTCTTCAAGATATAACAGATGACATGACAGTAACAGAATATTTGAATGTACTCATTTGAATACATACAGCTGGAAATACTAATACTACTGACATATTTTTGCCACAAATTCCTACAACTGCTGTATAGCTACAAATCACAGCTAGTTCTATTATTCTTCTCCCTGTTTTTAATCAAGATGTATTTGGTTAGGTCATACACCAATGGCTGCAGTTACCTTAGAGATTACAGAAGTCTACCTATGCAAAGTTTTACCTTCTAAAACGAATTTCACTTACCAGGTTTTGATTTCATCTACACGTTTTGTATTAAAACTCCGAAAGCATATATAATCCAGTTCAAAACAACATTTAGTATCAAAAAACCTGCGATGTGTTTTTCCAAATGTTATGACAGGTAAACCATTCTGTTCAGAATTACCTCTTATTACACTACATGTAAACACTAGGAAACTCTTGCTCAAGAAGACACACTGGTTTTGTAATCTTTCAGGACAGAAGAGGAGCTGTACCAAAACCTCTACTCATCAAACCACAACCCAAGGCTCAAAGCTTCGTCAGACATCATGTCTCAAAAAGGAAAGCTCTCAGTTAATAGGTAAAAAAGTAAGTCCTAGAACTAATTCTAGGAATTAACACAGGCCTTTGTCAGACAGGACTCCCTTCCAAGGCAATTTTTTCCAACAAGCAGCTGATATTGGCTATCAGTTAAAATCCACAACCCTCACAGATACTTACTGCTGAAAAGACTTCGCTCACTCTGAGTGCTGCTGACTGAGGAGAGGCTAGGTGTTCTCTCAAGCACTGATCTTTTGACAGGCACTTTGAATTTGGTGAGGGATTTACCAGAGGAGGTTGGGGAATTTTTCACTGAGGCATGCTTCTCTCCTGGCAAAGATCCTATACCTGTCAATTAGGGGGGAAGAAGGAGGGAGAAAGAAGAACAAAAGGAGTTGGAAAGAAGCTTAAACAATTGCTTCTTTTACACATATGCCTACAAATAAAAATATTTACACAGTAAAAATCCATATAAAAAGGCTTAATCTACCTCATATTGACATGGTAAAAAATGCTGTAAATGCAGAAAAACAGTTCCAAGGATTTAAAGCATCATATTTTCCTAAGAACCAAGTCAAGAGCTTTACACATTGACCTTCCAGACAGACATCTGCACACCAAAGAATGTCTTTCTTACATTGTCCTATCTCTGTGTGTTATGGTTTGCTGTACAGGCGATCCCATAAAAATATAAAAAACCTCCACTTCACAGACAATCAAAGAAAGGATTCTTTTGTTTCTTCTTGCCCTCAAAACAAAGATTCCCATCCCCATTCCACTCTAAAAGATCATATCCTTTCAAGAACACAGACAGCATGAGAGTACTCACATAATATACTTAAAACTGACTAGTTCTGCAGAACTAATTAAACAGCACTCCCACAACCAAGTTCTTAATGGCCAGCTGGTGCAGACACATTCTTATACTAATTCCGGTTTTCACTTGAGCTTGTTGAATACAAATGCCCAACAGCTAAGTTAATCAAACAGGAAAAGTATCTATACAGGAGAAAGGTGTGCCATCTTCAGGACAGGAGCTTACTCTTGCACTACTAACAAAGCAAATACACTTTCCACAAGAAAATTTGAGTTTAGTCAAATTAAGCTTTTAGTTTATTTCTGAAAAGTGCACACCCAGATTAAAACTTCAATGGCCCAAAGGAAGTTATGTATACACAGACTTGTCCTGGCAGCTCTGAGTTGACACTTGTCAGCTCTGACAACAAAATCTTTATAGAGGCCTCTGAATATGGAGGTTTTCATTTTTGTATAAAAACAGACAAGGAAGACAGGTCTATATAGTTTTTAAATATTTTGTTACCTATTATGATGAAATATATCTAAAATAGCTTAATTTCTGATGTCACCGCCATTTTCAAGTCTGACAGACAGTTTATCTTACTTGAAAAAGAGACAATTACAGTGTTTCAGATTTTGCTTTGAACAATCACATTTCTACACAAAGGGAATACCTTTCCCTTTATTCTTGTCACTATAAACCACATTTCAATTTTGCTTAAGATAAAATACTGCTGAACTATGACAGAATTAGCTAGTAATTCCACTTTATTCAACATCGGTTTTACTACAGGAACTCCACCCTTTAATACTAATGACCAAGAAACCTTCAATTTGCACCAAGACACGAAAGCATGACACTAAGGGGACTGCATTACATTTTAGGCGAGAACACACCCAATGTTTGCCTTTCAACAGTAGGTGGTGTGACAGGATTAGATAACCTGTCTCAAAACATCCTGCATCAAGTATGCAACAACAGGAACAGCACTGGTAAAGAAAGGTATGGCCAAGCTATTTTCTTCAGTTCAGATCAATTCAGTAACAAAAGAGAAACCCCACATACAACGTATACTAAACCTTCATTGGCATATTATGTAATACTGGTTACAGAGTATAACGCACAAGCTTCAACGAGTCATTAAACATGCTTTGTGTCAGATCTCTCTTTGGAGGTGCACTTTTACTACTTGTGTAACTTTACTATACAGAACTGTGATTCTGTGTATGGCTTTACTGTAGCCTGCTATCAAACCTCTGAGACAAATTATCAGCCGTATTTCAGGACCTTTTGTAAGTTACTGCAAGGGATGCTTGAATATACACAACTCACTAAAGAGCATACAAGCTTTGCTGTGCTATGAGAACACCACAAACCACAAGCTCACACTTACTGAAAACACCCTTAAAACACAGTACTCCAGAAAATATATCTGAAATAATTTGTGTTTGACAAAAAAAATATAAAATATTTGTGACATCTGAACTTCATACAACAGATTAATAACTTTATAAAACTTTCCACGTTGTTTTTTAAAACCTTGTTTCATTATTCTGGTATGTTGATCAATTAATAAGTAATTCAGACCACTCAGAAGTTCCTTTTCTAAACAGCTTCTCAGCAAAACAAGGTGCAAACCCCCCAAAAAACTCAAACCAAACAAAAAAAAAACTATCCCCCCCAAAACCAAACAAAACCCACAAAACCCCTCAAACAAACCAAAACCAAAAAGCAAACAAGAAAAAAAAGGCCGCTGTACAAACACTGCCTGTTGATGTTGTATGACTTAGTAAGTTAAATTTCTACATTTCAAAAGGTAGCTAGAGGAACAAATGCAGTTTATCAGGTGCATCTTATTCAAGATGAAGGCAGCATGTTTGATTACTACTGTGTTGGACTTGTTCATCCAGTTCTAAACATACAGGAACAAAATCCTGTTTCCTTCACACGGATTTTCACTCAAGAAGGGTCAAAGCACATATGTAAAAATGCTCAGTCTTGTCTCGTACTGCATGTTCCCTACACATGATTTGCAGCCAGCCAAACTTCTCTGCAAAAGCTGGAGTATGACAGTGCTCTGAACCAGCTGTGAACCCAAACCCATTCAGTGAGCACAGCAAGCTCTGGGACGTTGTTTCAGAAGCAGGTCAAACAGATGACATTTGCTCTTTCCTTAGTTCTTCTGCTGCTTGATATTTTCCTGTAAGGCTTCTATTAAAGTAATTACTCAAACACTCAAATACATTTTTCAAAAGCCCTGCTCAAGGGACAATTTCTTTCAGGTCATGACACAAGATCATTAAGCAACTACTCTAGGTGTTACTTCAACTAATAGTTTTACAAAGTACTTTTATAAAATAAATACTTTTCTTCCCTAAGAAAGGAGCTACACAGAACTACATGCAAAGGTTTTAAAGACAGAAGCAGGAAGATACGGCATATAAACAAAAGTGCTGGAAACAAGCACAGAAGCAGGATATTTAGTGAACCATTATTACAAAGACAACAAGCAATAGCAAAGTAACAGGCTTTCATCAGTTATTTAATCTAGTCACTGAAGCGGGATACTAGAAATACCACATTCCTCTACAATGAACTAATGAGTTGGCAATTCTTCAGAAAAAAAGTCTCCATGCAACGACCATGTTACTTGAAGTGTGTTAAAGTATCTCCTGTATTGGAATGGAAATAAGCAAAGAACAAAGCTCATTCTTCAAGAAGCTCTGCAGATAGCTTTAATATCCTTAGTAAAATAATAATCCTCTCATATGAATCCCTCATAGGTCGTTAGAAAAAGTTAAAGCTAAGGCTTCCTTTAAATAGCACTGGAGTCTAAAACACTCAAATTGAGAGAATGTTGACACTGGGTAGATTGTAAAGTCAAAACACATGCACAAATTCTGAAATTTCATGTCCACCATTTCAAACCACATCAACACATTTCATATCTAGAGCTGAGCACTGAGCAACTGGCATTCATAGAGCCACATAACACCTAGAAATGAACGGTTGGAAGCCTTTCCCAAACATAAACTTTGGGCAGACGAAGTGCAAAAGGAGTTTTTTTGAAAGATGCTTTTTGTTGTTGCTGTTTTTGTTTAACCCTAAAGCTAACACTAACAGTTGGTTTGGTCTTACATTGCCTTATGTCTTGAAAATGCTGAATTTTGGATTTTTGCCTTATGCTTTTCAGATTTTTTTCTGAGAATGTAAAATACAAAGGGTTCCGTCTTAAAAGTGCTAAACTTCTTAGCTTACAAAAAATAATTTTAAGCATGATGAAAAAGCCCAGTTTAAGCCTATGGTAAAGTCTTTAAAAGCCATGGGGAGTAAACCTTCAAGAAAACATGCTGGTTTTTGGCATTTATTGAAAAGAGTAAGTAAATAATGGAAAGACAAACTGGACTTTGATATTGTTTCCAGCAGACTATTCTAATGTAGTGGTAAGAGTGCTTATGGTTGCCATTTTAAACATGTAAAGCAGGAGCAATACTAACAGTTTTCTGATGGCTGCAAGCTTCCGAGTTTGCCTGATCAGCCATCCAGCAATATCAACTATACTATATATTATGCTATACACATATCGGTGTTCCTTCAGGGAACAAAGAGCGGTTACAGTATATATCATAATTCTAAAGGTAATGTCTTTCTAATCATCTCTCCCTTTTAAAGTCTCAAATTACTACCAAAATGGCAGGACACAGTTAGGTTATGTTGCCAGTAATGGTCAACTGTTCAACCTAAACGTGGAAAAAAACAGGGAATGTCAAGTTACTGCTGGGTCTTCAAATATTTACAAGAGAGATTTACTTGTTTAGAGGATAACAGCTGGTCAGAGAACAGGCAAGACTCCATTCTCCATCTGATGGAGACTTCCACAGCATTCTCTCCATTCCTCTACAATCTTAGACAGGTATCAAGAACCAGCAGCAAGCTAGTGCCAAAACCTTAACTAGGGTGCCAGCAGCCATGCAGGTAGGTATTCCTGTGTTCTTCCTCTTGCAGCTCAATATTCTTGGACTAAAACTGGAAAACTGATCATCAGTTTTCAGCATTATATTAGCAGTTACCAACAACCAAAACAATCCTTTTTGTTCCTTAAAATGCTCCTATCATCAGAAGAGTGATTGGGTCATTTTCAGCTAAGGGAAGAGAGAGAAGACTAGTTACTCATGTATGCCTACCATTCAACTTCACTTTTCCCCCTTCCTATCTGCTCCAGTTTTGAAATGGGGCAGACTTCCTCACAGTTAAACCCTTCCACAATCAGAGAGACTCCTCCCTTTCCCATCTTCCCGCAGGCTCAACCCGTTGCATGTGACCTCTCTAGCACCTAGAAACATCTCTTCCCTGGCCTCAGGTATGAGCTCACACCTGATCTCTCACCTCCAGGGCCATCTGCCCATAATGCTGCCTGCTGGATTTAGTCAGGTTAAGGCTTTTCCTTTTGTAGACTGAACTAGAGCAAGCCCCATGAGAGATCATGTCTGCACAGTCATGCTGCCACCTCCTATGACCCCAGGCAGAGGCAGTCTCTGGACAGCAGGTA